TATAGTGGGTGTGGATAAAATGCGTATCAACACTCACACCCACATAACTCTCCAGTTTCAAATATAGGTGCATAGTTTAAATGAGGCTTTCAATCTACGAGAATAAGTTCTAGCCTTCGGTTTTTGAATGTACCTTAAAAATGTTTCGAACTCTCGCATAACCAATTGAATTCGGTGTTTATCTTTCGTTTTGAATTCTATAGATATGCAACATTATTTCAAGTGAGCATTGCCAGCTTTCATATTCTGTTTTTCAAAAATATCATTCACCAATTGCATGGGATCATTTTTCAACCGATCGTCGCTGCCCTACGAGGCCAAATATGAGTGTAGGTTTGGATAGTCTCTTCGCACGTCCATACCTCCACGAGTGGACGGACGACAAATGAAAGAAAAGTTGTTGATTAATAGGAATGTTTAGATGAAACTAGTTAAGTAGCAATAGAATGAGAGAACACTTTTCGAGATTTTTATACTAATTTTAATAAATGTCTGAATGATTTGGTTTGGAAGATAAAATGGTTATAATCTCATGTAGCAACGATCCTTACTTGATAAAAGTTACCATATAATGATCTAATTTCTCGTATTCTAAGAAGAAAAACGTCTTGCCAACAAATTTCAAAAACATCTTATTCGTTTTGCTGAGAAATAATGGATAGTTCTTGATCATTTAGTCCTATCTTTACAAGCCTACCCTTTGAAGAGTTTGAATCAAAACATTCTTCGAGTACACAAATCAGTACATGATTCTAAGACACAAAATTCCGCATTTGTCTAGTATAAGATTACTTATGTCCAAGAACGTGAATTATCGGTGGCATTGATCTTTTATCTCTAGAGAAACCGATTGTCTGCCATGTGATCGTTGAGAATAATTTGATATTAAATGCATATGATGCACGACGGATGATCCTATATATTTTACAATAGCTAAAGAATTACCTGTTTACTACCAGTAGCAGAAACTGATCGCAATATACGACATTTACTAGCTCTCATGGTTTAGTAAGACATGCAATTCGCGATATACACTTATATTTGCCAGTGCATCGAGATCAATGTGTGATCAGACTTTTCAATCACAGTTGGATTCAGAGTTCTAAGATTTATTTTGCGTCTTTTTTAAAATTTTTCGGCGAAAGTCGACAACGATACTAATAGACAGTAACAAGATTTGTACTTTTTATTCAGAAACAGAACATAACAAATGTATTATTTTGATCACCTATAGAAGCAGCACTGTACATAGCTCATTGTTTCTATGTTGAACTCGCTAATAGCAGTAAGAAACATCGACTAAAGGATATGTACATAGTCAGAGTTGTGATCTACACTATCGTTCATCGAAAAGACCTATCTAGATTCCCTATGCAAGAAATAATAAAATACGGGCAGCAAGTAGGTCATACTATGCGAGGTTGAGTAGCGTGTGATCGTCAGATCACCCTGGATTCAATCACCTTTCAAAAAAATTCTAAGAAATACAATCTATCATTCATATTTTACAGTATCTCTAATTATGTAAATCGTTTACCTATCCCATCTATTTTCTAATTTCATCAATAAGCATTGCGAAACTATAATATTTTACGATACAAATAACGATAATATCTCTACGATAAGACGACTATTTCTATGATCATATGACATATATGTGCATGAGAAGCCAAGGTCAAAGTTTTATTTGTCTTCTGTTGCTTATCAAGCTCGACAAATATTGATGAATGACATAAAGAACAAAACTGAAGAATGCGAGTATGAGTGTTAGTTTTGGCGACATTGTATGTGTGACTATGCCTGTGTCTAGAGGTGTGAGCGTGAGTCTTCTTTCAACCTTTACACACCGACACCCAAGATTCTTTTTGCAGAGAAGCTATTGTTGTTAAAATTGCTGTTTGCATGAAAATGACATGCGAATTTCTGAGTGGATTAGTTAAACATCATATGAATGAACTAATAAAAAAAAAAAGACTTCTACGTTGCATTGTAATTTGTTCGAAAAATAAAAACTATTTATTCAACGCGTAAATTAAAAGTCGAAAGAACCATAGAACATATTAATCAAGATAAACCGACATCAAGTTAGAGAAGAAATTTAGTGGTATATTATCATTAATATACTTCATTCCTATTTGTTGTTCTTCATTTTTTATTATTAAAAAAGAATATTTGAATAGTCATTTCTTTTTCGCACAGAACAGAACAATGTAGGTTTTTTTTTGTCCTGTTAGAATAATATTCAGCTATCGTTTTCATTTCATTATTGTGGCAAGGTAAGTACAATCATGCTATAACTTTTTTAAACTGACATAGATACTGTTGTCGATGTGTTATATTATACTTTATGTGAAAGAACATACTGTGTTTGAGAAAACTTTTCTCGAAAATAAATCTTAAAGTATCAAATGAAGAATTCTTCTAAGACTTCTCCTTCAAAAAGTCAATTTGAGTCAAACATATGATTTTTGAGATAACTATGCGGGCATGTTGACTGAAATGTCTAGTTTACAAATAAATAAATATATTATTCAATCCCGAAGATTTTTAAGGAGTTTTTTTAAAAGAAGTTAAAGCTGACTGAAACAATTATTATTTTTTATATACTGCAGTCATAAGAATTCACGTCGAGGCAATCATGATAACTGGTGCCATCTATCATTAGTTAGACAGTGATGAGCACTTACCTTTGATATATAATGTTTACGGTTTTAGCTTGATTTAAAACGGTACTCAAGAAAAAAATTTCTTTAGCATTTTTTTCGAAACTGTTTTTAATACTCATGATCAAAGTTCAAACAACTTTTTTTTGTCAAATATAGCTCATTATAGAGAACTGCAGTTTTTTTGTTTATTAGGAGACTTGATACTCTTTCGGGTGAAGGGAAGGAATTTTTTAAATAGACTATAGTTCTATAGAAAAATTCTTCTGTTCAGAAAATCTTTGATGAATTTTTAACGCCCTAAAACATTAAAAGGAGTAATAATAGAAAAAATCCCTTCCTTCATCTGACTAGGTTAAAAAAGACTTTTTTGTTGGTTGAGATTTTTTTCAGGAGTGAGTTTAATAGTGATCGAATATGAATTAACACTCATTTTAACAGAATTGCTTCGATAAAGTTCTTATTCCACAGGTTGAAAATCGATGGCTATTTTCTGATCGTTTCATATTTCTGTCACATCTTACTTAGTTCCTACTGTAACTCTTTCAAATCGGCCTTTCTTTCATAAGACAGTATAATAATTGGTGTAAGAAATTGTGGTAAAAGCTTAAAACCAGATCCGATATAATTTTTTAGATTAAAATACTCCTAGTGACTCTTCACTGAAAATCAAACAGTTGTATAGTAACTTCTGAACACAATAAGTTACAGTCAATTAACTATCGTATTATCTCCTACGAGAGACATCCATGGTAAAAAAAAATGAGTTTCGCTAATAGTATAAATAGATATGATCTATTGAAGTAACATATTTCCCCGTCTTTTCAATTATCTATGGACGTAAAGGTACACTACTCACCTTAATAATCTATTTATTTTAGACTCAAAAATGCAAAATCAAAGACGTTCACGATCAATAGGCGATTTAAATAAAATATATCGATATAATGAACGAATTTCTCGTTCTCGAAAACGTATTCTGTCCATGATCTACAATGAACAGGATAGAGGTACAACGATCAGCAAGAATCAAAGCATTCGAATCGAGAATCTACGAGTGCGAATGAGTAGAATGACACTGAGACGACATAATGAAATTATGAGAGTTTATTCAAATTTGACCCTAAATAGGCACATCCCACGAACGCCTAAACGTCGACAACGGCCAGTGACAGCTCCTCAACTACGATCATCATCACGAAATCGATCAGGCACACCAGCTTCACCATTATTATTACGGAAACCGAAACCATCTCCTCGACCTCCATCTCCTCGTCTACCTGTCAAAGTCACCAATATTGTCATCAAAGATGATGAAGCCATCATTGAGATGCAACCCACATCACATGAACCTGATCATGACAAGAAAGATGAAATCGAAGAGGACGATATCATCTATCCAGAAGGTATTGATGATTATCGTCCTTACATAATTATCGCTCGTTATCGACGTGCTGTGCAAAAATCAACTAGCATTGAACGAAAAAAAGGTACGATACGGAACTCCTAGGGCTTAGATGAAATCAAAATCATTTTTAGGTACCGTGCGTACCTACAAAATTTAAAAAGATCATGTAGCATCGTACAATATCTGAAAAATTTTGGTATATTTCTACACAGCTTAAAAGAGATTTCGAATTTGTGTCAACTATTGAAAATATTTTTGAAGTTTCGGACCACACCTGTTTCTTTTTAGTGAACTTTCGTCATGAACCTCTACATGTTGGTGAAAAAGAAACAGAAACACTTATACTCGGTCTAGACAGTTTGGCAGAAGAACATGGTTGTGAACTAATATTTACTGATGATGATCATCAATTTGACAATAGTATCTATCGTGCAGCATGTGGTGTAGTCGATTTAGGTAGTATTCATCTATTGGCTACAGATTCTTTATTGACAGCTAATTTCGAGTTCGAAATTGATCTGGACTATGATAAGGATATTGTTCGATCAAAAGAAAAGATCGAAGAGTTTGTTATGGATTTTTGTAAATCGATCTCGACAGTGTTGTCATGTGATACAAACAATATTCGTATATTTTCAATCAATCGAATGGATAAAGAAACAAGAGAATGTAAAGTGAAGTTTGGCTTGACATCACCAGAGCCGAAAAGAACTGAACAACTTGCTCAAGATTTACAGGTATGAGAGTAACGGAAATCTTCAATCTAATCTAGAATAGCCCTATGGGTAAAAAATCATCAGAAGGATCAGCTTCATAAAGGAAAGAAAAGTATTGTCTGACCAATATGCCAATGTTAAATTTTACTATCGGGAAAATGGCATTCATAAGATAAGTTAAGGTAAAGCATTGACTTTCGTAAGCTCTTATACTCATACTTTAAATAGATGAAATTGTATTTGAAAAACATTGAGTGACTTTTTTTTCAGGAGAATCTTATTGCATATGATTTTTAAATGAAATCGAAAGGTTATTCTCGCAGTTGAGACAGTTTATCATTAATCGTGTCTTTCTACTCTTTATTCCTATTTGATGAATATCTCTTTTGTATGCCACTATCGTAGACTTATGCTCGTTCTGGCTTTTCAAGCGACAAAGTTCTTCGACATGTTATACCAGGAGAATATGAATATACATGGAAACCAGCACTCAAATTCTTGAAGTTACAACCAAGTGATCTCGCACCAGAACACAATTTCGACTACAGAGAACCTGGTGTAATAAAAGAAGACACACGTGGAGGTTATCCTTATTACTTGCCAATTGGTTGGTATCGTCATGCTCTTCGAGTCCTCGATAAATATGAAAAAGATCCCACGTGGATTGGTTGTATAAATGCAAAAGGTGAATGGGCTGTTGCTTATCATGGAACGAATGCTAATGCAGTGACTGGCATTGTAAAACATGGCCTACTAATCAGTGCTGTCAAGCGTGATGTGATGCTCGACGAAGCCATTGAACAAGGAGGAGAAGACGCCGATCATCCTGGAGTGTATGTGGCAACGCATTGTGAAGGCGGGGCATATCCTCAATATACTGTGCCATTCACTGTGACAGTATCTCCATCCAAATCCGAACGATTTAATTTGGTATTTCAATGTCGTGTGAAACCTGAGAAGTTCACTATTCACGAAGCTCCTGTTACAGAAGGTAGAGCGTGGCGTTTTGTGGATCCAAGTTCTATACGACCCTATGGAATCTTGCTGAAGAAGGAAGATTGATGTTAACCAAATGCATAACTGCTGACAATCGATTCTAAACTGCACCTTTTTCGAGCTTGTAAAATGCTTCTATTTTGTGTTTCATTGTAATGTTTCACATGAAGCGTTCTTCTCTATATTAGATTGAATTTTATTTCTTATTTAACCTTTCCGAATATTATAGGAAAGATCAACATTCCAGATCACGGTCATTGTGATACTATCACATTCACTAAGAGTGTGAGTCTTCTTACACATCCATTATATCCACATCCTTTTAATATCTTGGTGTCTTTGCGATTGACTATCCATGCAATCGTTCTAATAAAATTTAATTGTAATCACAGGAGTTTCTCGGAAATTTTTTGTATAAGAACATCCGAGAGAATCTTGTGAAGCCTTAGAGAAGCGGCATAAATTCAAAGATTTCCAGGCAGACAAGGGCTCGTTTTAATGCACTCAAATGTATGCTTTTTACACTGAAAAAATGATAAAAAAACCGTCTCTAATTTTTGTAAAAAGCAAGTTTATGAGTATCATTGTCTTCTGACTCACTTCCTTTTTCAAAATTTTTTTTTTTTTTTGAAAACGTTAAAAGTCCACATTGTAACTCATGAAAAATTCTTTTCTGGTAGATTATTTCTGGAACATTCTGTATATGAATATCAATATTTCTTTATATATTATTAGTCTATTATTATGATAATGAGTTGCGTCATTATTCTCTTTTCTTCTCAATTGTACCTCAACTTTTCTATCCTTCTATTTCAATTGCTGATAAAATTTTATTGTTCATTGATTGTTCATCATTTATTCGTTCAATTGCCTCCTTTGAATTTGATCATGATTGTAGTATATCAGTACCACCTAGTAATCAAGGACTGTTCTTTGCACAATAATCTCATCTTACACATGTGTCTGTCACATTACGTCTATGCCATGATTGTGTTCGTTTATTGAATCAACGAGGTTCACAACGGCAGTTCGTAGTCTATCTAAGAATAGATATTACGCATTTGCTTAGTATATATCTCAAATTTTGGTCACAATTATTCTAGTTGGATTAATTAATTCATGGTTATTTATTCTAGCAATCATAGTTGCAAGTGGCATGTTCTTGTTGAGACATCAATTTGATTCATATTTCAAGTTCATCAATCTTATTATGTTGAAAATATATATTCTAAAGAGCTTCTTCATCATCTCAATAATAATACACCAGTCAATTATTTGATTTCAACATTGAATAGATGGTTAGCGATACATTTTGATTGAATATTTCTAATATTCATTGCCTTGATTACTGTACTTGTCATGATTACTTATGTAGGTCAATGCTAACTTTCAGTTGTAGACATTACTCTTACACTAATTTATAGTCTCAATCTAATGCATCGTATTTAGTGGATTATCGAGTTAGATCTTGAAAATGTTTTCATATCCCTCAGAAGAATCATATTTCATTAATAATCGAATCTGACAAAAAAGTGTTATTGTTGGAAGAACATCTGCTGGTAAATATTCATTCATTGATAATATTGACATAGCAATTATTGAATTAGATAATGTTCGACGTTGTATTTCAATTATTCCATAAGATCTTGTTCTTTTTGTTGGTATAATAAGAAGTAAACTTGACTATTTTCGTCTTTATTCAGATGCTAAAATATGGAATGCACTTGAAAAAGTTTATCATTGTTTGATGGTTTTTCTTGTACTAGTTGAATACTTTTCCTTTTTTTTGTTGATATAAATACGATTGAAACAATAGTAGCAGATATGATGATAAATGATCTCCATTCATTAGTAGATAAAAGTGGATCTAATTTGAGTGTTGAGTAAAAAACAACTGTTAAGACACTAATTGATAGTCATCGTATTATGATATGAAATTTTGATCTTATTTTAGAAATGTATTACATAGGTTGATTTATTATTATAGGTGTTTAGTAATAGAGAATTGAACAAGTTTGATTCACCTCAAGTATTACTCTCAAATGACTTATCTCATTTCATTTTACTAATGAATCAGCGAGAAGGGACGGAAATGGAATATCTTCAAACCTCTAAATTCTATTGAGTCATATACAAAGCAGAAACAAGAAATATATAACTTAGCCGACGAGTTGGCATCAAATACTAATGAAATAGATTTTCTTGTTCTTAGTTTGAAATCGTTGTGATCCATTTTAGAGAGTATTCTGTGTTTTTTTACTTGATAATTGATTTCAATTGTCATGAAAAATATTTTGTTGAATGTTAATGTTATTAACAAAGAAAAAAGGCTTCTAATAAACAAAAATTTGAATAGAAATCAATTTTTTCTTTTTTGAGATTGATATTATCTTGCCTGTTGTAAGACTCTAACGTTCTATCTGTATGATGACTTACGAGGAAAACATTTCAAGTGATTATTCATTTTTGAGTTTGAACTCAGTACATCATTTAGACTTCAAAAATTCAGTTTAAAAGAATGATTTGTTCATGAAATACGGAATTTCTAAAAAAAAAATCATGCAATTCTGCTATCTGTCATGTAATATGAATGGTTTTTGGAAGTTCGATGTCTCGTAAACGAATAATTTTTTTTCAACTGAAATTTTTGGAACAATCCATTTACAAGTAAGCTTACTTTCGGAAACAATTTCAGATTGACATATGGTCACTCGATTTTTTTGACTCAGTTCTTAGTAGAATCTATCCTATCCACAGAGTCCGAACTGAAAAATCCAGGAAACTGAGTTTACTCGTCTGTCCAAAGTTTATGATTATTGTGTCGCACAGGATGCTATTGATTTCGTGCACTGAAAAAAAAACCTTATTCATCTTCTATTCTTTTTACTGATCCGTTTTGCTTCTTGAGATTAACTGTCGTCTACATTTTCACTTTTGTTAGTTTCATTATAAACTGTATCATTGATCGTCAGCCAACAAAAACTTACAGTTGTAATTTTTTTCTCTATTCTACTCATGTACTTTTTCTTTCGGTCAATTCAATGCTTGTCTCTTTCATCGAAAATAGTTGTTCACCCTTCCGAAGTCGTAAAATATCGAATAATCTATTATCCAAAATTGAACTACATGTAGTAAATGCTATAAAAATATTCAAATATTTGTTTACGTACAAGATTGCTTAAGAACAATAAGTTAGAAAATTTTAAACTCTTTTCTTTTTTTTGAATATGACTACAAAGAAGAACTTGAGACCTGCTATATTTTCATAAATTATTTCTGAGAAAAGATATTTTCTATGTGAACGAGGTTAATAAAAGGAAAAATCTAAATGTTCATTTCCATTAATTGGGTAATATTAAATCAAATTTTTCCTAGTGAAAAAAAAAATATGCTTAAACTTCAAGAATCACTCGTAGAATTTCTTTTCTAAACAATAAACACATTATAATATTGTTTAGCATAGCATGTGGCGCTGCTTATTGTTTGCTGAATACGTTCAACGAATCAGTGTTAATATAAATAATTTAGTCAATTTCGACAGAACTGTCGACATTATTTATTTTTGCTTTTATATATTCACTATTCTTAATTATTTCATAGATATATTTTTGACATGGCTGAGCCATCTCGTATTACTTTTAAACTTGGTGGTATTAAACGACCTGCTCTTAATAATCTTGCATCATCATCATCATCTATTCAATTTGATTCATCTACAACAAATAATAATGATCAAGCAGAACTTGTTACTGGTTTTCATAATGGTGAAATTAAAAGTAGTATACCAACTGTTATTAAAAAAGAACTTGTTATTGCTGCTCAACCAAATGCTCATCATAAATTTTTTAAACTTAAAACAAATCTTGGTAAAACTATTGTATCAAATACAACATCATCAAATGAACCGATCAATTCATTAGATGATGATGCAAGACGTGCACTTATTCGTGAAGCTCAAGAAGCTAATGAAACTTGGGATCAACGAAATGAAAATGGAACTATTCATGTACATACTATTGAACAAGATTCTGTTAATACATTTATGAATAATATTACTAGTAATGAAAATATTATTGAAGAAAAAGAAATTGAAAATGCTGATTATGAACAAGTACCTATTGAAGAATTTGGTATGGCTGTTTTACGTGGTATGGGTTATAAAGAAGATACTGGTCTTGGTATATCAAATAAAAAACAAATTGATGTATTTGTACCAGAAACTCGACCTCGTGGTCTTGGATTAGGTGCTGATCGGAAAATACTTGAAAAAATTAATCAATTAAAACGTAATTTAAAAAAATCTGGCATTGATGAAAAAGATGATTTATGTTTTGAAAATGGAGCTTTTGTTCTTATTGAAAAAGGTCCACATCGTGATCTCTATGGTACAATTGAATCAATTGAAGAAGATGTTGCACGTATTACTGTATCATTAGCTATTGGTGGTACAAATAAGAAAAAAGAAACAGTATCTATATCACAATATTATGTTAAATTAGTTACTGAAAAAGAATTTCTTAAATATAGTAAATATGTTAATAAATCTAAAGCTGAACAAGTTGAAAAAGAAACAAGTGATCAATTAATGAAAAACTATCATCTACAAGATAATAATAAAGATTACAAACGTCATCGTTCATCTAAAAATGATGATTATGATCGAAAACATCATCGTTCATCAGATAAAGATGATAATTACAAACATCATCGTTCATCAGATAAAGATGATAATTACAAACATCATCGTTCATTAAAAAATGATGATTATGATAGAAAACATCATCGTTCATCAAATAATGATAATTATGATCAAAAATCTCATCATTCTTCAAATGGACGTCGATATGAAGAATCAAGTAAATCTAGAAAACATTAATTATTTTATTATTACTTGGTTTCTTTTTTCGATATGCATAATAAATATCTATACATATTTTGTTGTTGTATTATATCTATTTATTAGATTTCTTTTGTTTCTACTAACAGATGCTTTCTCAATTGATACATTGATATGAAATAAATACCAAGTAACACTGGCCAACGTATTCAACAACCATCATATGTTCTTCTTTTAGATGTGTGTATTCTGAAGGAAAAGATTATGTTTTCCGTGAATTCTTTTGTTCGAATTACTTTGCTAGAGAATAAAATTAGCTTTGTAATTTATTTTGATAAGAGAAAAGACTCTGATATGTAAGTTGATTCCAATCCATATAGACTCCGATAAAATATGAATAAGTTGAAAAGATTTATTCCTATAAACATCAGCTTTCAAGTCGAGACTATTTTACTAAATTTTTTTGAACTGAAATTTTGCTCATTAATATTTCTAATGGTCATTAGAATGTTCTTAAACTTTCAATTTAAATAAATACTTTCATTTTGCGATAATGGATTTTCAAAACAAAAAATTGATATCTTATTCATTGAATAAAATATTCGAGGGTAAGTCCATGAAGTTTTGACCACTTTGTTTTGGAAAAAGCTTTTTATCAATTTTGTCTGATGGGAAGTGATCAGAAAACAATGTTTTGACTTTTACCTGAAAAGACAGAGATTTGAAGCATCTAATGACAACTCCATCAGTTATTTCAAACGTGTGAATTCATATTTTATCCATCAGTAGAACACCTTTAAACTAGTACAACCTCTGAATAATTCTTCTTTTTATTTAAATTTCACCGAGATATGACTGTTTCAAAAAACAGGAGCTTTCCATGTATTTATATGTCGTCTACTTATGAACAAAATATGGACTCAAAAGCTTGAAATTACTGATGAGACCTTCATTAGACACTCCAAGAAAAAGCTCCAAATCTCTGCCATTTCACATGAAAGTTAGAACATTTTTTCCGAAATAAGTGATTGGACACTCATAGATGCAGCCCAGGATGTTTCATTCAATGAATAGAATATCAGTTCGAAAACGCTGACCGATTTTTTTGCATTACTCTACACAAACATTTTCATTTGCTACTCTTATTTAAAAAAAATCAATGGATTCCATCGTTTATCTTGTTCCTTGTTTTTTTTCCGATTTAGATCAACAATCCTATGAAATTGGATGTTGAAAATGAAAAATCAATTCAAATTGAATTATCAACAGAAACACTTGGTCTTGTAATAGATAATTTCACACGAATTCGCGAACAACTCAATATTTTAGCCAATCGACAATAAAAAAAACAGTTATTTCAAATTTTATTATTTTGATCCGCAATATAAATATGATTTTGTAGTCAGCTTTTTTTCTTGCAGAAAGAGAATGCATTTAAATTAAAAAAAGAAAATAATAACTTCATCGAACAATTACATTATAAGAAAAAAATGTATATATCGAAAGCTATTTTCTATATATAATTGAATGTTTAATCTTTCCAAAAATGGGTTGTAAGTGTCAGTATTGAGAAGACCAACATATAGAGAATAAGTTTTACAAGATATCTATCATAGATATAGTTTAATTAGACAATACTGATTTGCAAAAAAGTGCATGAATAAGTGACTGTTATTTTTCCCAAACCCTAATTAACAAAGAATGAAAACTGAAGTTGATAAATTTTTCAAATATGTCTACAAGTACAACACTTTCTTATTAACTTCTGAAACTGTTCAAGGAGAAAAACACTGAATAAGTCAACAAATTCATCAAAACATTGAAATTCATTTTGTCTACAAAGAACTTGTTCTATAGTTTAGTAAATGCATTCGAAATCAGTAAAATAACATTCTGTTGCTGAAGGAATGTATTCTGTGCTATTTCATGTTATTATCGAATGGTTTCTTCTCGTTTGGAAATTATTTTTCATCTCAATAAAAAATTTTCTGAATAATTTCATTCACTTAAGGAATGGCACCTAAGAACTTCCTCTACTGAAAACGGTGTTTGTATGAAATTTTTAAGTCAGAAGAATGTATTTGCGAAAGACTCAATAGATATCTTATCTTCGAATTGACTATAAACAATTGATTGTTTTCTTTATAGCTCTATCGATTTCTTTCTCGTGTATCGCTCAATTTAACCTAGATAAAATAATTTATTTTCTTGTTCTACTTAAGCAGCTGTCTGAATCAAGAAAAATAGATATTTACAATTTTGTGTTGGATTTGTTATAAATTTGTTTGTTTTTTAAATTAAGATGAAAAACAGATTTGACCTAAGTAGTTATTTTGTATCGACATCGGGCTCAAAAGGTCGACTCACTACCTTGCTACAAAATATGATGGTGAGAGTTTCATCTCCAATTTTTAGTTTCCAGTTCGGATTAGAGATGGTGATTTCCTGTTACTTTATTTTAAATTTAAATTTATTTACAATGTAAATTTCAAAAAATTATATTTAGTTGAAATTCAAATTTTGTAAATTTAAATTCAAGTTAAACCAAACAAAATTTAATATGAATTCATTTAATTGGATTTCAATCCATTCACATTAATCCATATGGGATTTAAATCTAATTAAATGAATTTAAATTGATTTAAACTGAATTTAAATTTACAAAATCTATTTTTGAATTTATTAAATTTTCGTAAATGTAAATTAATCATCCCTAGTTTGGATTGCTATACGTGAATATTCGATTTTTCTTCACCACCATTTTATATGAACAGGTACTTTTATGGTCGGTTATTTTCATCAGATTTTTGTCAGCTTGGCTGTAAAATTCATCCAGCCGATTGCTGGCCGGACTGGATCGGACAGAAAAAAACCGTCTGGTTCTAGTTCTCATTTGAACGGACAAGCGCGTTTTAGATCATTCAACATCATTTTGAAAAGAAAACCAGATGTTCTTTTTCGTTCTTCGAATTGATTTCTCAGAGATAAAAAAATCGATTTTGGACTTACAGAATATCTTTTCACTCATTTCATAAACTTAATGAAAAATATTCTTTTATACTGAGAAAAGAATATCGATTAATTCAGATAATGTTTTTCGATTTGTTTAAAATATCTTAGATTTTTTTTTGTCATTATTTCTATTTTCAAGGTTGACCTTTTAGCTGTCGATACCGACAAATGTTTATTTAGAATACATTGACAAGAACAATAAAAGTAAAGTAATACCGATACTTTCATATTGAGAACAGCTACATCACTATAATAGATGTTGTACTTATTTATAACAAACAAACAAAAAAATAAAATATAAGTCAAGGGTGAAGGAATAAGACATGCTCATCCATATCCACACAATTACCCTCACATTCTCATTATCATTCCCACAGTGAGAAGTTAGGTGAACTTACACGAAAATATTTTTTTCCAGAGTCTAATAATTTGGATAAACAAATATATATGAGATCTATCGTTTTCTGCAATAGCACTTTTCGAACTTTAACAAAGCACCAGAAAATAGCATGTCAAGGGTTTAGTCCATAAATTTATTTTAAATAAATAAAGTCAAGCTGTTCGACAATACAATATAACATTCGACAAGCAAACAATATAAAAAAACCTGCTAATCCATGGGCGTTATGTTTAAAAAGAATGATCAAAAGCCAATATAAAATAGTGTAGAATATAATGGCTGGTGTAGTATGTGAGTGTTATTGTAAAGATGAAACATTCTTATTCATCTATACTCGCACTCATACTTTATTTCACAATACGAATTGATGCCACTATGATGGTAAAAAAACATAATACAGGTTGGGATTTACATTATCATGTGACTAATGCATCTGATAATAGAACGCAGAAAACGATTAATGACACCATATTGACTCACAGATCAACGCAGCATATTTTATCTTTTCTATTCGCGACAGACAAATTCAGTGGCATACGCTTTTCGTTTTATTCTTGTGTACACGGTAACTAGCAACGTAATACTATTAAAGCACAGTATATTGTCAAGCGTTTTGTTTTTCATCAGCAAGCAGAGACAATAATTAATTGTATAACTACATAGATGACACATACAAATATGTTAGCAATTGGTTCTTGTGGCTTACTCGGAGTTGCTTGTCTTATGTTTATTCTAAACACTGCTTTATCATCATGGTAAGACCAGTATTTCATAAAGATTTTCGAATATTTTAAGATGCAACATGAAGAGTCAATAACCACACAAGTATTTCGAGTATATACTATGAGAGTACATTTGAAAGCGTGCAAACGAAATATTTCCTAAAGCTTTACAAACGTAACTTGTATGATAGTTATTAAGCTGTAAAATTCAACAGATGTTTGGCTTTGTAACTAACTTTCTCATACAAAAAAAAATATCTTTCAAACATATTGTTAATGACAAAATACAGAGCAATGTAATAGTCACATTAACGAGAATAAAAGTTTGAGTATGTCTGCTATAAATCGACTAAATACATTTATTTTTTTTTATTGCTGATAAAGACGTGCTAATAATTGATATTTATAACAGAAGCTTCATGAAATAGTGTTTTGAAATATCACTATCGACACGAATACAAACCTGAAATCTTTGATGAGCTAGAGAAAAACAACTTATTTATCCTTCTAATCATAAATACATTGCAAGCAAGATGTTCAATATCAGATTTTATATTCAGCTCTAACGTACATTTCTAGATTCAACTTTTTATGCTGATTACAATTATCAGATTATATTTTTGACTTGACAGAGTTCTCATGCAAAATACTGAGAGAGTATCAAAATGTACTAGAAAAGCCTGTTTAGAGAAAAAAATATTCATAGTTCTTTACCATTCCAAGTTTCGATTCCATTAATATAATTTTTGAATTCCTCATATAAAACTGAATCTGAAAATGTCATCTAGAGCATTGTCAAATGTTACATGTCCATTCTTAACAATCCATCAAATAGTGTCCTTGCAAACGATACTAGATGAATTTGCAAATCTATCTAGTTTTTTTTTTGGTAAGACATAGAATCTTCATTCATATGCCATTCGAACCGCTGTTGATCAATAATAAAAATATGAATCGTTCTTTTTTGAAATTTTTTTTTTATTGTTAAGAAAACTCTTTTTTTTCTGAACATAAGTAGGGGTGGCACTTTATCTTTACTTTATCAAGTAAAGTAAAGTTGGGTTACTTTACTTTACTGGGTAAAGTAAAGTAATCCTACTTTACTTTACCGGATAAAGTAAAGTTGATCTACTTTACTTTATCGAGTAAAGTAAAGTAAATATACTTTACCCGAAAAGTAAAGTAAAGTAAAGTGAAGTATCTCTAACTTTATCGAACAAGCAAAATATAGTAAAATAAGATTAAGAAAAGCATGTAGTTGATGGTTATTCATTTCTTAGTTTATTATCATACATTAATCACACTTTAATATGTGAAAAGTTGCGTGAAATTACGGATGAGAAGCCCCAAATTGTTTAAACCTGATTTTATTACTTTGAAAGTCAGCATCGAACTCTCAATATTCTTCATAATTCTGTATTTCACATGGTCACAACTCAAATTTTGATACTTGAGGTCCCCTCAGGTATCGAAAAAACAATTCTCTGGCTATTCAATTATAAGTCTTTGTAATTCAATAGCATGAAATGTGCAGATTTATAAATATCTCATTTATTTTTAGAAAGTGGCAAGACAGTGGAGGCTCCAACATTTGAGCGCCAATAGCTGAGTCTACACATTACATCCCTAGACATTTCAGTGTCTTGACGGTCGGAGTTGTTGCCTTTTAGGCCTCTTCACATTTCAAGTCAAACCACTAACTACATGAAATATTTATTATAGCTAGAGGGTGCGATGTAAACAGTCGTAGGGTGTGAATGCCGATGTGAATGTGAACTGTGGGTGTGGGATGTTGGTGTGAATGTGGATTGTGGGTATGAGTAGCAGTGTTTTATCCAAGTCTGTTTCCCCGGAGGAGCGATTTGCAATTTCGGGAAGCGAAAAATTATTTTCAGGAGGGCAAGTACATAGTTACTTCCGCGAGTCTCGGAGAGCGAACTCGATTTTTGTGGGAACGCAGCTCCCTTGGGCACTTCCTGAATAAAATACTGACGAGTATGGTTACAGATGTGGATGTTGTTCTTTCCATCACTCACCCTCACTCTTCACACTAACGTCCACCGATACCTACCCGTACCTCCACGCTGGGGACGTATCGAGACCGAGAGGCTCGGTCTCGGCCAGTCTCGGTTGAGAATGAACGAGACCAAGATTCTCGATTCAGCCTCCATCTCCGTACATCCCTACTCCACGCTTTACTAACACCTGCATACTCACTGCTACAATTAGTTCAAGAGTACTTTTCCAAACAGTTTCAAATAAGTTCACGTAGACATTTTACTCACTGGACAAGAGTGAAATGCAGGAGGGTCAAAAGTAAAGAGGCTCAACTGTCCAAAGTTCAATTATTAGAAGGTTCAGACACCCAGAACCCAAATGTGTAACTCAAACATTGACGTTGAAATGTTGAAGATTCAACTGTCTATATAACCTTGGAAGAGTGCTCAGACTATAAGAAAGACCGGAAACACTCTAACTCCTTTAAAAACTAGCAGTGTCCAGAAATTCCACTAAAATATGGTTCTATCTTATCGAAAATAAGTCCATTTTTTGCAGAATTGGCGTCTTGATGAGTAAATATAAGAAACCATTGAATGTTTGATTTTTTTTCTACGCTAAATGGCAAATACTATCTCGATTGGATGATATTATCCCTCACAGTTTTTAGCCCTACAAAACTAGAGTATCCATAGCTGCAGTGGTCGAATAGCTTCGCCAAACGTGCAATTGAATGTGCTCTTTCTGATAGCACCATTTTAGACTGAAAATCTCGAATCTGTAAAATCGTTATTGGCTCAAAACCCCATCCTTAAGATCCTGTTTGCTCCTCGCTTGACTAATATTCTGTAGATCTCGAATATAAAAATCCCATTTGACTTTAGACAACTGTTATATCTGTGAATAAAACATAGAACTAAGTCAACATGTGCGAGTTAGAGATATTAACTCAGTTGTATTGATACGAGTACTCACTGCTTTAGTGTCTCCATGGGTCACCCATAACTCAAACCAGTTGCTTGAGTAGATCATTGATGGAATGTCACCTCTGATCTACCTATAAAAAGTTTCAGGTAGATTGCATGAGTTAACGCCAAAGTCATCCTTGTGCTACCCCGTTAAATACTCCAAATTTCATAAAAATTAGTCACGAAAAGGTTTTCTCAACGAGTGTGTGGTTAAAATAGAAAGTTTTCGTCTAGTCAAATTTATTCTAAGTTCGCTGTAACGAATTCGGTACGATTTTCATGAACCTGTTCAAAAAGAAAAGATCTTCATGATACCAGGGAGTGCTTCGGATCTTTCATATTATCTGAGTACTTTCTAAAAATAAATGAGATATTTATAAATCTGCACATTTCATGCTATTGAATTACAAAGACTTATGATTGAATAGCCAGAGAATTGTTTTTTCGATACCTGAGGGGACCTCAAGTATCAAAATTTGAGTTGTGACCATGTGAAATACAGAATTATGAAGAATATTGAGAGTTCGATGCTGACTTTCAAAGTAATAAAATCAGGTTTAAACAATTTGGGGCTTCTCATCCGTAATTTCACGCAACTTTTCACATATTAAAGTGTGATTAATGTATGATAATAAATTAAGAAATGAATAACCATCAACTACATGCTTTTCTTAATCTTATTTTACTATATTTTGCTTATTCGATAAAGTTAGAGATACTTCACTTTACTTTACTTTACTTTACTTTTCGGGTAAAGTATATTTACTTTACTTTACTCGATAAAGTAAAGTAGATCAACTTTACTTTATCCGGTAAAGTAAAGTAGGATTACTTTACTTTACCCAGTAAAGTAAAGCATTTTGCTTTACTTTACTTTACTTTAATAAAGTGAAATAAAGATAAAGTGCCACCCCTAAACATAAGAGGAAAATGTTGAAATTCTGCTCGGAATTGTTGATTTTATCGATCAGACACTCAACTTCTATGAAATAAAAGTGTCATATTCAGAATCAGAATCAAAAACTAAGTCTATTGATGTATATTTCTACCTTATTTGAGTCCTTTGATTTTCTTTCAAATTCTCACATTGATAAATCGAGAAATTTCATATCGAAAAATTGAAATATTCATCGAAACAATGAAAATGAAACAGAGATTTGCAAGTGCGCATTAACGAACTCAGCTGTTGATGCTGATTCTGAAAATGATACTTTTATTTCATGGAAGTTGAGTGCCTGATCGATAAAATTGACAACGTCGAACAGAATTCCAACATATTTCCCCATATTCAAAAACAAATGAGTTTTCTTAACAATGAAAAAAAGTTTCAAAAAAAGCGATTCATACTTTTATTATCGATCAAACAGTAATTCAAATGGCATATGGATGAAGATTCTATGTCTTACCAAAAAAAAAATACTAGATAGATTTGAAAATTCATCTAGTATCGTTTGCAAGAACACTATCTAATGGATTGTTAAGAATGGACATGTAACGTTTGACAAAGCTCTAGATGGCATTTAATCTGATATTTGTGATCAGTATAAAAAATTCAATCTAGAAATGTATGTTTGAACTAAAAAATCTGCTCTGACTTTGCATTTTGTCATACCGTACGATGACCGCTTATTCTGGCCTACTCGTTAGTTATATCAAAATGAATGATACACATGTGTAACACTTGACTGAGTACATGTCATTTGATGTCCAGAAAATCGATGATTAAAAACTTCCTTCTGTCGAACTCATTATATGTGCTCTTGTTTTTTTTTTCTCGAACAGAAGCAAGATTATCGATACTTTGTCTATCCATTCTAGGGCTGTGATGAAAGTAAAGGGTATAACGATTGCAGAAGGCGGTCTATGGCAAAAGTGTGCTAAAATTGGGCCATCAATTTGTATCAAACGCCCATTAACATGTTCTGGGGTGCCATCAACGTTATTGGGTCAATGCTTAAAACTAATTATGGCACGAGTGTTCATTATCTTTACTTGTATTTTGTCTGGATTCGGTATCCTATTTCTGCTGCAGGTTGGCATCACACAAGGAAATAATCCAACATTTATTATATTTGGCAAAGCTTTTGCTCTTATGTCGACCATCTTCGGAATTATTGGTATTTCATTGGGTATCAGTTGGGCCCTGTATCTCGGTAGCGTAACATTGGGTGCAGCCGCCATTTTAAGGATCGTTGCCACTATTCTAAGTCTTTTCAGTAGTATTTTGGCCACTATGATTCCTAAAAATTCAATATAAGCCAGCTACACAACTTTGGACACTTTAAACAAGTATTGTTCTACTATTGTTGTGATTAAATAATCATAAATGTTTGCTTTTGAAAAAACAAATAAACGGGCAAGTTTTAGTCCTTATATTACTTTCATTGTTTCTTGTGTTGTTGAAAATAAAAAGAAATTACGGTAGATCGCGATTGGTTTATACCAATGATTGACACATATGAATGTGAATCTATTAGAAAAAATGTTTTCGACGATAATGTTGAGACCCGTTTCGGGTGTAGGTGTATGGTTGAGAATAAAAAGAAGATAACCACTCATCCATCCACACCTACAACTCCGCACAGTCTTAAATTAACATATGCTGATGCCATAGCAAATTCATCTGAGAATGATTCTTCTTCTGTTTTCGAAAAAAAATCATGGTGTGGGTGTCGATGTTTGCCTTTCCGTTCACTATCACATACACACCGGCCACGCCCAGTCACACTCATACCCATACCCATACCCATACTTCGCATCCACATCTACCCATACCTAAACCCATACTCCGCACCCACATCCACATCTTACACCCACACCTCACCCAATACATCGTTGACCCTAATGATTGTTATGTAGATAGACGCCTCAGAATACGCTCTTTACAATGCCGTAACCTCGAGCTCGATAACATTAGCCGATCGAAAGTTATTCAGAAAGTGTCCACATCCATATAACTCTGAAACAGACAGTAGCTTGCCATGTTTTTATGCCAATTTTGATCCGTCAGTACCTGCCAGCCAAATCGTATCAGTCTTCGCAGTTAAAATAAGTATGCACATGTTCATCAATTCACATTGTTTGTATGCAGACAAACAACTACCTCGAATGTGTAATGTCCATATCAGAAATGAGTGAGTTATGTGCAACAATATGAAACTTGTGTTTTTTTTCTTGCAAGGCTTGCTTCACCATTATGTTTCTTTCGTTTTTTTTATGCTTTCTTCTTCTTTATTTACTCGATTTCTTTTTCCCACTCAGTATGTGCACTATAAATGTTGCAAACTTATCTTGTGCACGTCGTCATTATTATTGACAATAACGCCGCGCAAAGTAAGTAACGTTGTTTTTCGATCTACTCTCGACTTTAATAAAACTGCGTCTTATTTGGATTTTCATTAAACGATATTTGCTGCTTATCAACTATTCAATTGTTGTTGACCTCGTTCAGATACCATTGAATTTATCAGAACCATGTAATAGGCGTTAGAAAATTGATAGAATTCATAGGATAATTGAAACATATACGTGACTGTTTTTAATATTGAATAAGCTAAAACATAATTTACAAGTTACTGGTAATCTAATCATACTTTTGAGCAGGCTACATAAATACCAATGAGATGTTTTTGCCGTATAAGCAAGAAGATAAAAAAGGAAAAGAAGGACTCTTTCAATACTTCTGAAACGATTTTATGGACTTCTTAGTTGGATGAGAACTTCTTTTCAAGTGATGTTTTTACTGCACAAAAATTCGAAACCCACTCATTTTTTGACGCGGGTACCAGTGTGGATGGCTGTGAGTCTTCTCTTCATCGGCATTCATACTTCAACCTCACACCCCATACCCAAACCCACACCAATACCCACACTTTCACCTTCATCTAGATAAAATGACATCCACATATACACTACATGCGCTACACCTGTGTGTGCTTGATTCATCTCCTATTTAATAGTATGCATAACTTTAAATCTTCAAAAACTCTACCAGTCCTGAAGATGTTGGTGCGCGGGTATGGATGTAGGTATGTGGTGCGGGCATGGCTGTGGATCAACAGAAGTCTAACACTCACAACTACATCCGCAATACTCCATGCAAGAGAAATCAGCAGCCGATTCGCATTTTTTCAAAAACCATTCGCCCTCCCTACACTGTGTGCGGATACTGATCTTTTCTTGGTTCAACCCGAACCCTACACCGACACTAACACCCACTCTACTTCATACTACAGCCTTTACTTTTGCGGTATTTCTGTTTGATATCGACATAGTTGTGAATAATATGGTTCAAAAGTAACTGTCATATTTGCGCGATGAACCGAAAACAGAAAGACTGAATGTTTTAATTTACTCATCGATATTGTTCCGTGCTAATCTATAGTTTTTTTTCGCATACATAGTATGAAATAATCATTTTTCCCTAATTTATGCATCTTTCCTAACAACAAAAAAGAATGAACTTGCTGTCTTCACAAATGTACTTTTTTTAAAGAAAAGTCTACTTTTCAGTCTTGCTTCCTAGATGTCGGAACAATGTGATAGTTTTCATCCGAATCTATTTACGCCGAATATATGTTGTAACTGCTTTCGAGATAAACAATACCATCAAAATAGTGCAAGTTCAAATGAATATATATCATCTGCTGTTCAAATACCAGCCGATCATGAAACAACTGATAATAATGATCAATACAACCAGAATGAGACAGCTACGACCTCTGAGCCAATATTAGTTCAAACATCATTCCCAACTACACTTCCGCAGTGTAAATATGGTGTTGCATGTTATGAAACAGATGGTAGCCATTTCGAGCAGTTTTTGCATCCACCCAGCCACAGAAGACATCATACTTCGAATACGAGTTCTTCTCGAGTAAATAGCAGTAGTAAAATTGATCAACATCGAACAAATGAACAGGATATGGTACCTTCGGATGAAATATCAACTATGAAGACGCTTCCGCCATGTAAATATGGTTTGTCATATTATAGAACAAATCCTAATCATTTTGAGCATTATTCACACCCGCCTGGCCATACAAGACGAGAACAGTTCTCTAATATTGGTGACGTTGACATCCCTATCGTCAGCAATGACAGTCCTTCTCCAATGGTACCTACATGTAGACCTGATAATGAACGCAAGCTCAAACTAAAAGAAAAGCTTAAAGAACAGAAGAAATCCGAACTTCATTTCATTGAACTAATGCAGAATAAAGTAGAAAGCTTAATCGACCAGTTAGAATTAAAAGATAAAGAAATTACAAAATTGCGTCAAGATCTAACAGAAATGGTTACGTATAGTCAAGAATTGGAAATGGCGCTTGCCGAAGAGATAAATCACCGTGAACGACGTGAACTAGAACGAAAGCAAATCGTGGCTATTCCAAGACAGACACCAGGATATTGGGGTCCGAATGCATTTGAAGAATCTTATCGTGAAATAGAAATATCGACTCAATCACCAGAATTTGATATTATCAACCAGTTGATGAGTGCAACAATATCAAATCATGGCAACAAATACGGAACGGTTAATGGACAAGATCCAACGGAATTTTTGATAAACAGAATAATACGAATACACAATAATGAATTATGGCATACTTATTGCTACAAAAAAGTAAGATTAGATTCTATAAGAACGATATGTAAGCTGTGCTCTGTTTATGCAGATACTGTCGATTATTTCTTCGTCACTGCGCTCAAGCCGAAAAAGAGACAAGAGAATGACACCGTTCCAATTAGAAAAAACCTCTGTTATGGTCATTTTCGGAAAGCAGAACTTAGAAAGCAATACAGAGAGTGGATCTTTTAATTATAACAGAATTCTAGGTCATAAGACTCTTGCCAATTATAGAATAGTGAGGAGTTACGTATAAGAAAAGTTCACTCAAAGCAAAGACTTTTGCAGCCGTTGAAGTTAAATTAATTTTGAAAAAGAGTTCGACAATTCCTGTAGTATTTAAAGAAACTATCAAGTCGAAGGATCCATCGATAGCATAATAGTTGACAATTTTTTCTCCTGACAAGTGCATACACCTTTACTGCTAAGAAGATTGCAAGATAGAATATATTTGTATAAACCGGAAAAAAAACAACGTTTTTCTTTGCAATAAATTCTTATGAATATGTTTGAGAAAGTCAGTCACTCTAGGACATTGACGATAGGCGATATATCAGAACTTAATGATCTTTTTTTAAAATATGTTATATAGATTAATGAGTTTAGTAATCTCTGAAATTACCAGTTTGAACCGCTCACTATTCAGAATACTGATTTATTCGAACACCTGTGACTAAGAGCTACCGCTTTTAGGTAGATTTGATGTGTATTCTGATGTTGTTTCTTTATATTATGAGTTCTTTACATAATAATAAATAGGTGCGATAAAAAGGATGAATATTGTGACCCAAATATATCGTTGTGTTAGCTGGGTTTTCAATTCTATGAGTTGTATCGAGATACTTTCTTTTATGGTGCATACAGTTACATGTATTCTTAATTTCAACGAACATTCGCATCGGTGTCCATAGTCAAAAAGAAATTTTAATATCGGAGTTGATTCTTGTACATTGATCCGATTTAGAGTTTTTGATTGTTTTGATGAGCATGACATGTTACACATTTGATAGAAAGTGTAATAAAACGTTTCCTAGAAAAAACTTCTTTTCGACTTTCTAACATACACAGTGCACAAGATGATAAAACTATTACGTAAATTTTTTTCAGAAATATCTCCATATTGTTATCTGCCAGAAACAAAGTTGACAACATTGGAATTCGCTTTTTGTCAGCATTTCTATGAGAATAAGAAAACCTCTTTGAGAAAGTGTTCGAAAGGATAGCAGCAGGTCAAAAATCTTCAGAAATGGAAAGTCCTTGCTATATCCTTCCGAGGCAAGAATTATTATGATTTCGTGCTTTGAAATATATTCAAAATTAAGACTATTCATTTAGGTTGATCACCATTTTTCAATCGAATGATCTCTATGCATTCTCTACTTTAGGACATGATCATTCATAAATATAATGATAGACTGACCGATTGTGAAAGTTCGAAATATTTACAAGCTCATCCAATACTGACACCTCTGTTAGACACAAAAACGAATGAATATTGGCTTTTTCATGGATGTAGCCAAAATAGTTTAGATCATTTGTTACATAGTGGTTATGATCCTCGTGTTTCCAATCTGTGTGGCATGTTTGGAGGTGGTTTCTATTTGGCTGAAAATTCCTCAAAATCAAATCAATATATTCCTTGTCCTAGATGCGGTAAAAATTCTATAGGTAATGATATAGGATGCAATTGTGCTAATCAACAAGATATCGAGTTTGCAATAGTTCTCTATCGTGCTGCTCTGGGTGACGTGCATGTGGCAATGAAGTATGATAAAGAAAAATACCGTCGTGGTCCTAATGGGCAGCGTGTTCGTCGTCCACCTAAGAAAACAAACGATAAAGATTTGTACGATTCGGTGATGGGTGAAAGTATGGAAAATGGCAGTGATCGACTCAAATATCGTGAATTTATTCTATATGACTCAGGACAAGCTTATCCTGAATATGTTATTTATTTTCGCCGTTCAGCGAATCGTGCACGACAATCAAGCAACATAGAAAATTTAAAGAAGAAATGTCGAAATTTCTTGATTAATACATTTCGAAAAAATCCAGAATAAAACTTGACTTCGATGAATTTTGTATTTGATAAGAAATAAAGATTGTCAGCACTATCAAGTTGAAAAACGAATGAAAATCTTCTAAAATGTTCATTTTTTTTTTGGAAGACTATGACCAACTAATATCCATTTACACAGCAGGAGTTTTTAACTCAAAAGATAACACAAAACGAATTTGCCAGTCGGAACAACTAGATAGAGCACGACGCGTTTTATCGAATACACTGATCTTCATATTAACTTAAAGACAATTTTTCTATTGCTAATAAAAATCCTGCGTTACGTTACTTCATTTCTAATCGTAAGCCGTAATATTTCTTAATTATTTCACATGTTTAATTTCAAATATGTTTTTTCTTGGAGTCATCATAGAATTTTAAATGAAATAGATTATTTAATTTATCAAAATATGAATTTTGATTCTTTTTAGAAAATCTTTCATATTCAGAAAAAAAAATGAAACCAATCTTGTCTTCTGGTATCATTGAAACGTACATCATTCGATGCTGATGATGAAGAATAAATCAGTTTTGCTTTTTTTTAATTATGTTTATAATTGAGTTTTTGGATAAAAGATGACATATCGGTATGGCCAGTCGTTTCGGCTTTTGTTGAAAACTATACATAGCCTTTCTCTATATAGTGGAATGCCTATTGAACTGTTAGTATCATTAGGAACAAATCATTTAAGATAATTATTTGTGATGAGTTCTTTCTTACAGCAGAAATTGAGAATTTGAAATTTTGAATTTCGTCCTGTTTATATTTGTCTTAACGAAGTAGTTCTTGTAAGGAAATGCCTACTTGAAGATAGTACACAATAGCAATCGACTTTATATATTTTGTTTTGTTCTGTACAAAATGATGTCGATAAATTGACCAAAGAGAACGATGCTTTGAATCGATCGTGTGTTATTTTGTGAATAAATATAGATAATAAAAGTACAGAAGTAAATAAAACACATCATCGTTTTTAAATTGGTAAAAATTTTATGATTATCAAAAACGTCATCGCCTACCTGCGGATTGATTGTTGAATCAATGACTACCGTTTATTCTAAAGTTAAATAGAAAATTTGAAAAAAAGTTGCACCGTTACTCAAACTGATCAACAAGTTAAAATTTTAACAGTAGAATCTTCTGATTTGGATTTTCCACGAACAAAACAAAAATATCTCACATAGTCAAAGAGTAATAGATATTGAATTAAATAGAGACAAAGTCATAAATGCTGATTTCGTAAAATAAAGAACGTGGTAAATATCTTAGATTTTCATTTGTTCTATCAAACATACCAATTAGATACATAAGTTTCATCTATTTTATTCAAATGATAGATAATGAAAATTATTTTATCAAAGAAGGAAAATAGAGATAAAAATGTTTTGGATAGACAAGTAATTCATCAAATATTATTTGTTTGAGTTGACTACAATTGAGTCGTGTTGCATCATTTGTAAAATTATTCGTAACAGTAACTAATTTTTCATATTGTATTCCAAGTGATTTAAGACGTGGAATATATGTATTTGTATGACATAGAAATTGATCAACATAATCAATGTGTGCATAACTGAGACGAAGTTGAGTTAGATATAAATATGAAATGTTTGAAGACGGTTTTTTTTTATTAATTGATTCAATTTGACCTTTATTTTCTTGTGGTACGGAATTGTGGACTAACAAATATTCAAGTAATGGAAAAGATTGAGATATCCATTCAAAAAAGTCATATTCAAATGGACGTGTATCATACAATGTTAAATAGGTAATAAATTGAAAATGATAACCACGAAAACTATTAGTAAGATGCATGAAACGAGTCATTTTAAATGGTATTGAATAAATATTATAATAAGTAAATCCATTTGAGAAATGATCAATACAACAATTAACTGGAGAATATTTCCAATTATGAAATGTATTTTTAATATCATTAATTGATAAGAAATAATTTGTTTCTGAAGTCGACATAATTGTACAAATATGAAATATGAATGTATTTAAATATAACATATGACTAAGAATTTCTTCATCAAGATGAATACCATCGATAACTATTAATCGCATTATATTAAGACATAAAGTAAGTTTATTCAAATTTGGCATTCGACGAAGTAGTAACAATATTCGACAATCATAAGCATTTGTATGCATAATACTAGTCAAAGAGAATTCTTTCAGATTAGATAAAACTTTCTACAAAAAAAAAGATATACGTAACATTGTTTATTCATAACTTTTATAATATACATATCATACTATAAATAAAATATACCTACTTGACTATCAGTAATTATTGGTGATCTTTTGATAGAATTAATATTTACAGCAAATGAAGATAATTGATACAGACGACCATCAAGTAAACAAAGACAATCATCAAAAGTCTTCACATTAATCGAGAGAGTGTGCAAATATGAAGAACAACAAATATTCGGAGATCGATGACGAAGTGAAAGTTGGGCACTATCACCTTTTATCCATCGATTCATATTCAAACGAAATAAATTTATACAGATGGCAAGAATACATTCACATGTATCTGTAAATGATTCATTGGTAAACACTTCATTTGTAGTCATAACAGTAATGCTTCTGATCTGCTCTCGAAACAAACGGGCAATCGGTGATCCTTCTAATAATATAATCAAATAAATATTCATTATATGATGATAAAAGACTATTGTTTACCTGTTAAATAACGTACAAGTCTGTTCGGTGGATAAATTGTAATAACAATTATCGTAAGATGAGGATATCGACAAGCAAGAAGAATACGTTCCATAGAATGTAATGCAAGACTAAGTCCAACAATCTTATGATTTATTTGAGGTAATATTTCATAACAGAATCGATTAAGTTTAACATCATTAATTGAAGAGAATTGACCATTTGATATAAACGATAATTTCATAAACTTAATTTTGTCAAAACTTCTTGCCATTTGATCAAGTCGTCTATTAACACCTAACAATGAATAAAGGACGTCCATGGAACCAAGTTTTTTCAAAATAATAAGTAATATTTCATCAGATAAATCGAGTAAGTGAACAGTTCTGCGATTCATTGTGGATAAGATATCAACTGATTTTCCATCTTTTGCTATTTAATTATATATCTTATATATACTGCTGTCAACAAGACGAACAATGAGTTGTTCGCTGACGTCTAGGAAGACAATTGCGTCCTCATTTCTCTATTAACATCATAGACTAAATCGCAGACGAATAAATGGGTTTTTCCTTCTTCACTGAAGAATTTTTTCTATGGTTAACTGATGCAAAGCGAAAATATGTAGAGAACAGAGATTGATACGTAAAATTTTGCTTTTGTTAATACTGTAAGATGAGTTTCTTTCTAATGTTTCATGAGTAAATATAATATATTATTTCAAACTAGAATATGGGTGTGTGTGGACAAAGAGAAGACAAGACCCACAGCCACACTCCAAGCCCATTTATAAGGTTTCGAGGGAATATATCTTTTCTAACAGTTAAATCCTTTGTGAGGCACAATTTGTTCATCGACACTACAAATTTCTTTTGGAAATGTTGTTGACTGGAACTTTGTATTAAAGTGGTCTATAAGTAGTCAGAATTTGCAGATTGTGTCATATTTAGGATCAGCTTTTGTTGGTTTATCTACATTATTGTTAAAATACAGAATCGATAAAATTTCGTCGAACCTATGACGAGTCAAAACAGATGATATACTTTTAACAGTTCCATTTGATTTCTTCTGATTTATTTTTTTTCTGGAGGTGGACTTTCACTATCTTCATCAGAGTTTTTATCAATATGATCAATCATTTCATCAGTTTACTCGTCTTAAGTATTGGAATACACTTCTGTCAAATCAAAAGAAAAGAGAATGTATTTAAAATATACTTAAATACATAGAAGTAGAAGAGAAAAAGATGACATACGCCATTATCAGCGCGTGACCACAGAACAGAAAGAGAAAAGAAGATGATATATACTCCGAAGAGTACCACTAAACTACAGCAAACAAGTTTTTCTCTTATGATACGGTTATAGTACGCGCTGTAACATTATGTATTGAGCGAACGCCAAAAAAATTACTTTTATGATTAAGATTAGATTTAGATTGTTGATTTGAAGTCCGCAATCGATAGGCTTTAAGTTGATATCAAATCTGTTTCTAAATGTCTCTTAGTTCAAGAGAATCAAATTTTTATAAAATGAGCGCTATAGCACCCAAAGGGCAGGAAAGAGTTAAATGTTTAATCAGATGTTCAATTGTGCAATAGGGTTTATCTTTATTTTCAAATAGTTTAGAAATCAAAAGAAAAAATCACTTGTTCACAAAATATTTATCATAAAAAAAGACGCTTAAAATCAATAAAAAAGATATCCATAAAGCATGAAAAACAATACCATTAGGAAAAAGTCTTTCTGTTTGATGATTAACATTTTCCGAATGACTTCCATTTGTTCTATTGTTAGATTTTAATAATTTAATATTTTCTCTATTGAATATATTGTCTTGTTCATTTTCATTTAATTCTTTATCGAAACAATCTATATCATTTTCATAGATTTTATCATTACAACTAAATGCCCAAAAATCATGAAGTTCATCTAATGAACGTGGATATTTAAACCATTCAAGTACTTTTTCAATTGAAACAAAATAAACATATCGATGATTTGAACTATTTAAAATATATTTAATAAAACGAATCAATGCTTGAAGATGTAGATTTTTATGTTGAGAAAGCCAAGAAAGATCAAGTTGAATAATGAATGGTGATCGATAACCAACGAATATTGATGAATGACGTTCAAAATTATGCATAATAAAATCAAATAAAAGATCAACTGTATGTGATTGATTGATAGGTAAACATGATGAATCAAAAAAAGTACGACAAGATATAGTAGCTAAAAATAACAAATGAAAAATATTTATTAGTTATTTTTGTTCATAGATAAAAAAATTAATATTCAAATTTTAAATAAAGATTTTTGCATAGATAACGATTCTAGTGAAATAAATTTATTTTACTAGTTCTAAATTAAAATTTAATTATTATATTCTTACCATTTGGATAAGTCCATTCATGTAATGGAAATTGCCAAAATGCTTCAAATGGTTTTGTCCATTGTTGACAATTAATACAATCAGTTTGATCAAATAAATAATCAAGTGTAAATGGATACATTAAACTCGATGATTTAAATAACATCGATGAATCATAATGAAAATGAAATTGATGTAAAAATTCGAAATATTTATTTTGATCAATTTTTATATGTGGTGCATGAAAACCTTTTATATGTGATTGATGAATTTGAGTATGTTCAACTATATTTGTACGTTGTTGTTTGATTTCTTCATACCAATCATCATTAGTCCAATGACTTTCATTATAACATTTAGTTAATGAACATCTTAAATAGGAAAACAATTCAAATAAAAAAAAAAATAAAAAAAATCCATAATTTTACTTCTTATCTGAAATAGTTATTGCTATTTCATTTTGATTATCAAATAAATGCTGAACTAAACAATATTCCGTATAAATATTATGAATAAAAAATGTTGATGTAATCGGACATTTATTTGGATTTCGATGAGATGATTTTAAAATTGATTGAATTGAATCAAGTGTATCTTTATTTAAACTACCAACAAAAGTTAATAAAATCTAAAATAAAAAAAAAAAAACAAGATAGTTTTCATCATTATATTACATGCATGAATCATTAAAGATCGATATTTACAAATTGAGGTAAATCAATGATATCTAATGATGTTGGATTATCATTACTTATCGAACATTGACAGCTTGGTAATTGACAATTGTCTTGAGTACAAATTTCACTACGACAAAATATAAATGAAAATGTCAGAAGATATAAAAAATGTAATAGGAACATCGATATAAATAAATTGTTGTATTTGTCGTTTCTAAATGAATCGTTCGGATATAAACTGAATACATCATTCACTGAAATATATGTACGTCAAAACAAAACAAGAGAAAAAGACAAAACTATGTAGTCAAACATGTGTTTATATGTTTGTTAAAGAAAATAACATAAGCATAAACTTCAATCTTTATTTTGATTAATCTTTCATAGTAAGAACATGATCGATTCTTTGTTAGTAGTAGTAGTAGTATATTATCGAATGAAAAACAAAATGTACCAATACTAGAATTTACAAAACTACTATGATTATACTCATCCTCTCATTCTAATGGATGATTGAAAAGTAATTAAACAAAATATACATTGACTTTTTTAGCTTTCTTTTAAAGAGTCTGCAGAAATTTTGAAACATTGAGTTAAAATCAAAATTTTTGTAGAACTTCTGATTTAGGAGTTATGAATCGACCTTTATTTCTCAATAAAACGGTATTTTAATGATTAGTTGGCTGTAAACCATTTGTTAATAGCAAATATTTTGGTAAATAACATCATGTCAGTTTAGGTAATCTTCTCGGTTTCTATGGAAAACAGACTTGCAAAGCGAGCTCGAAGATTCCTGAATGATTGTTCTGAAACTGTTGATTCTTATATCATTTGTCTTTAATTCTATGCAAAAAAAGAAATCGGTAATATAGAGTGTATACAGTAATCAATGTTTCTAAATTTCTGCACACTTCTTTTCAAATAAGATATCAGATAGGAGCTCTGGAAAGACTATTGCAAGTAGAAGTTAATCATAGTCACAGAACTGAATGATCATATCGATTTGGAATTAAAAATAAGAACAAATTTATTCTATGATTTTAATCTCGTTAATACAAAATACTTTCAGAGAAGAATGGTTTAAATTAACACAATGTTTTTGATCATATCAATTCTGTTTCACAAAATTGAAAAAACTACAATCATGATAGCACAAATATCATTTGGTTAGATCATCTACAAGGGAAAGGATAAAGAAAATTCACAACAAAAATGTAGAGAATAAGGGGTGTTTATAATGACGGACAAGGACATTGATATTTGACAATCAATTTTTGCAGCAGCACGAATGCAAGATTTAATATCCAATTTTTTTAGAGCTAACCAAATTCTTCTAGCAGTCCGTGGAAGTTCTATGATACTAAATTGGCGTTCGGTTCAAGCATTTATTGTAGAATTCGTCAAAATACTCTCAAAGACTAAGATCATACTCCAGTATTTGATTTCCAAAACGTTAAGAATAAGGCCGATAGCTCTGCTTAGAATACAACGCGAATGGTTTACGAAAATAGATGAGTTCAAGACTTTTGAGCCACAAGTTCAATCACTTTAAAAATTTGTGGTGTGGATCTTCCTCTTCATCAACACACAACTAGCTTGAAATCGTTTGTTTTGACTTACTTCCACTTCCTTTTATTAATTAACTGAAAATGATCGTAGTCGAGATCGAAACTGAACGTTAGGGTTCGGTGCATGGCAGAGATGTTCATGGTGATGTAACAGCAGTTTTTTTTCAGGAAGGAATTTCGAAAAAACATGAATTTGCACAGAATCTTGGTGTTCATATATGTGACACTGTAAGACTTAGCAAATCTGGTCGATTAGCAGCAGCAGTTCTAGTTCAAACCAGCCACAGTCTTGAAAATTGAAACATTTTTTTGAATATCAATGTGGCAGTAGCAAATTTGCAACCGCGATGAACATCTATGGTGCATACTCATGAACAATACACACATAAATGTACACAATTAAATATTCAAGTAATACTAAAAACTATATTCTACTTTGATGTAATATCAAAATGTAGATGTCTCTGCTTTCTAGTAGATCCTATAATTATTTTGATTGGTCGAATATTATATCATGTAATTTTCTTGTTTGTTCTGTAAAAGAATAATTGATCATTCGTACTTCTCTATTTTTCGCATTATAATTCTGATCAACAATGGGCAAAAAACAACATCAACAAGATAAACTTTATCTTACAACAACCGTAAAATTTTACTTTTTTTTTAAAAAAAATTTTTATTTTATATTATCTAGGAATGGAAAAACTCCTTTGGTGGATTCAAAGGTTTAACAAAATCTAATGCTGATTTTCGTCGTTTACCATTCAATTGTTGTAGTATATCATTTCAACCAGTTGAAATTCCATATTGTACACCTGATGGTATCGTCTTTGATCTTGAATCTGTTGTTCCATTTCTTAAAAAATACGGTAAACAATTATTAGATTTTTCTTTTTTTCTCTAATACAAACAATATTTTTTTTTCTTCCTCTTTCTTTCATAATCAGGTCGTAATCCTGTAACTGGTGAAAAACTTGAAGCAAAACAATTAATAAAATTAAATTTTCATAAAAATTCTAGAGGTGAAATACATTGTCCGATAACATTTAAAGTTCTTACAGAGAGTTCATATATTGTTGCTATACGTACATCTGGTAATGTTTATAGTTATGATGCAATTGAACGTTTAAATATAAAAACAAATACATTTAATGATTTATTAACAAATGAATCATTTACACGTGATGATATAATAACAATACAAGATCCAAAAAATTTAGATAAATTTAATATACAAACATTTGTACATTTAAAAAATGATTGGAAATTAGATGATGATGATGAAAAAGCACGTCGTACAGATCCAAATTATTATCTTAAATCAATTAGTAATGAAACAGCAGCAACACTTGAACAAATAAAAACAACACCATCAAAAGAATTTCTTGAAAAATCAGACACAAGTATTTATTCATCAAAACAAATAAAAACAAATCAACAAAAATTAGATCATACAAATATGGCAACATATTCAACAGGACGTTTAGCTGCATCATTTACATCAACATCAATGGATCCTGTTACAATTATGGAAGCAGCTATACGTGATGAAAATGATATACGTTATACAAGAATTAAAAATGCCAAAAAAAAAGGTTATGTTCGTTTAGTTACTAATTTAGGTGTAATTAATATTGAACTTGATTGTGATTTATGTCCACAAACATGTGAAAATTTTATTAAACATTGTGCAAATAAATATTATATCGGAAATAAATTTCATCGATCAATTAAAAATTTTATTGTAAGTTAAAGCAAATAGTTCTTTTTCTTTTGTTTCCTATTTAATCTATACAGAATGTTACAAAAAATTAATCGGAAAAAAAGAGAATATGAATAACTCATTGAATAATTTGAGTCATACATGTGAGCGTTCTAGCATTTTATTCGTGTTTAAATAAAATATAAGGTTAGTGGCGGAGACAGAACACTAGCGCCCTCTTATTTTGGTTGCGACATCGCTACATGTGTTGTATGATGTATAATACAAATTACCAGTAAAGTAGCTACCAGTGCTCAATCAAAACAAGAGAGGCGCTAATGTTCTGGGTTCGCCGATATATTAGATAGAATTTCCATGTATTTTCTCATCGATTTCTCTTGTTAATTGTATCACATCTTTAATAAGCATCATGTAGACATTGTCTTTCATATATAACCGTATAAAGAATTCGAGAAATGCCAAGTTCAATGAGTATGAAGCCCATGGAAAAGAACCACCTCTTTAAATTCATATGTTAGGAAAAATTTTGTCTAAAAACTGATGTACTCCAAAGTCGAAATACGAAGACATCTCGTTTTATTCAACTACTTATTGAGTTCTGCTATAGTTCTGAATGCTATTGAAAAGATATTTCAAATAACAAGAACACTTTCACTAGTAACGTGGATTGTATGGATGTTTTTTGTTCTATTATTACCATAGGACGTTCAGAATGTGACTGGTCTGCTCAAGTATCAGTTTCATAAAGGCATTTAGAGATCTCTGTAATACCATCGTTATTTACTGTTTCTGTATCAAATTCAACTAGTATAGTTCGGTTGACAATCGTGGGTGACTCAAATTTCGCCATCAGTAAAATTGTTTCAATTCTAATATTTATAGACATAGGCATTTAATCCGAACTATGTTGAATAAAACTTAAAGGAATATCAAACGAAGTTATAGAAAATTCATGCAAACCACTGGAGCTGTTCTAGTGCTATTTACTCTTTTTTTATCCCGGTGGACTTTTGAAACATTCTGTATTTGAAGTATCTCAAAAGTCTGTTTTTGTTCCGGAACAAGCGATCGTGATGGCCAAAGTCTGATCGCGAACAGTTTTCAATGTAACTGTATGAAGACTACTTTTAATTTTGTAGAACGCATATAACTTATTATGAGTGTGTAATTTTAGATTCAGATTTTCACTACTTCGTTTCTCCTCTCACTTTACAAACACTCATTTTTAACGGTACTTCTTTTGTTACTCTATATATAATTCGTATTAAGAGTCAATTCATACTGGTAACTACAGTAATGGTCGAAATCGATAAGTTCTAAACTCCTGAAACTCTCGGACGGGTATGGGTGCGAGTTTGGATTTCCGTTCTTTTTACATCCACAACCACACATATATTTGAATATCCGAGGAAAAGATTGTATCGTATATTTGTCATCTCTCGTAACATTTTCTGGTACTCCGAATTTCTGGACGTGTAAGACACTACTGCAGTTGTTTAAAATTTGTGAGTGAGCAATGCGTGATGATATCAATTTCGTTTGAAATGCTAGGATTGCTTCAGTTGTTCGAGTTGCTTGATTTTCGAGGGTTCAGTAAGTGAAGTTGCCCTTTTGAGAGTTCTATCAGTTTAGAACTCACGAAATTCGAACACGTCTCAAAATTTTCTCTTATGGATAAAGAGTTTAGAGTAGATATGAGCAGGATGGTCTCAGTCTCCAGACAAAAAACAATTAGTTCCGCTCATCACTAACTAAGAGTGAGCACATACATTTACTAGGAACATAACGATGAACTCGATCTTCTGAGAAGCATCACCTTTGTACTTTACTACTAAACAGCATTAATTGCATAAGATAGTTCAAAAATAAACGGACTTCCATTTTTTTAGTAAATTCTTATGGTAATCTGGATTTTTTTATTAATATGATAGTAGTTATTTGATGTCATATTTCCACTTGCTCTTATTGCTTACGAGGGAACATCCCCAACTGTGCAATCTAAAAGCGATTGGACAGTTGAGGCTATTTTCTCGTTAACAACTCATAACGATATCTGTTCTAAGAAAATTTCATAATTGATAATTGAAATTTCTTATTAGGTACAAGGTGGTGATCCAACAGGAACAGGTTATGGTGGAAAATCAATATGGAATAAACCATTTCGAGATGAATGTAATCCAAAATTACAACATAGTGGACGAGGAATGTTAAGCATGGCTAATTCAGGGCCAAATACAAATAAATCTCAATTGTAAGGTTAAAAATTATTTCAATAAAAAAAAAGGGATCACTTTTTTGTTTATTTAGCTTTTTTACTTATCGTACATGCAAAGGACTCAATGGAAAACATACAGTATTCGGAAGGTAAATTAAAACCGAAAATTAATTTATTTTTATTGTTTATATGTATAGAATTGTCGGTGGTATTGAAACACTTAGCGCAATGGAAGCTATACCAACTGATGATAAAGATCGACCACAAGTAAGAATAATTTCTAATAAAAATCAATTGTTGAGTTATATTTTCTTATTTTCATTTAGACTGATATTTTAATTGAAGATACAATTGTATTTGTTAATCCATATGATGAAGTTGATGCAGAAGTAAAAATCGCTTTTTTTTTCAATAAATAGATTTTTTTGTTTTTGTTAAAATTATTATTTTTTCTTATTCAGTTAAAAGCTGAACGTGAACGACAAGATAAACGTGAAGCTGAAGAAGAAAAAATGAATGCAACAGTTCGTTCAGCAAAATCAACAAAATCTTCTACAACAAACGATACTTCAACGAATCAACCATTTCGATCTGGTGTTGGAAAATATATTTCAAATGAATTCTAGTAAGATTTTCTTTTTAATTTTAATTCATCTTATTTACTTCTGCTTTTTTTTTTTAAATTAGTACAAATGCTAAAAGAGCTTCAGCAACTACTGATGAAGATAATGAATATACACAAAAGAAAAAAAGAAAATTAGCTGCAAGTAGTTCAAGTGGAACATGGAGTTTTAGTCAATGGTGATTATGATTGACACTTTTTTTTTTGTTGTATCGTAAAAAAAATGTGTTTTTCTTCTGTAACGGTTTTGAATATATGATGTTCGTCGATGAGTGTCTTAAATTTATTTTCATAAGTATATAATCTATTTCAGAAGTGTATTATTCTTTCTCTTATCATTATGGCTAGTATGGTCAGCAACATACAGGTCTCAATTTTTCTAATAGATTTCGATATTTTATTAGATTTCTTTGTTTTTTTTACTATTGATAGAAAATTATTCGTCATCATGTCCCGTTAATTCGATTTAAATACGGTGCAAATCAATTCGGTATGAATTTATATTATAAATATATTTAAAATTAACAATGATAATCAAAATAGGTTCAGTGACTCGTGCATCAACAGAAAATAAAAGTGATTCGCATGTATCTCAAACAATTGGTGCTTCATCACAACCTAAAGTTGGTCAAAAATCAGCTGCATTGGAATTTTCTCAAACACCTAAAAAATATCGACGACGTCCTTTAACTCAAGATGAAATTGATCTTATTGCAGTAAATAAATTTTTTTTCTATTCATTCTTTTTCTTTTTGTATATCAAAAAAAATCTTTTGTTTTTTTTTGTAGGTTGGTGGATTTACTTAATCGAGAATTTTGAGAAATACACATTAGTTAGTCTAGGCAAGCCCAATTTTATTCTATATCAGAGTTGTGTGTTTATCTTTATCTTTTTCACTTTCCGAAATAAAAATAAAATTAAAAAAAAAATTATCGAAATCGAGGTCGATATCTTACACCATCTTTATCATTCGATTCCATATCAAATACAGTAAATGCACGTCTCATACTATCAGCTGGTATCCAATTATCTAATTGAATAACTTCATTAATAGATTGATTATATTCACGTTTACGTTCGTTTTCTTCAAAATCATTTTCATTAATAATTGGTATTGTTTCATTCTTCATTGGTATAAATGTTTTTTCATGTCCATATCGTTTTTTAATACGTCCAAAATTGATAGCAGGTAATGTTGAACCAAATTTATAAAAATCAGGTGAGAATTCAACTGTACGATAACTTTTATCACCTTCAGATCTTTTTTCAAAACCATTACGTATATCTAAAACTTTTTTTTTATGTCCAATTTGTGCTATATGAACATTTTCATCACCTAAATCTTCTATTGAACGAAGATGTATATTATCAAAAAAAATTCTTTTCGATGAACGATTATTTGCTGATTCATCACTAAAATAAATCCAGTCATTTTTTGTACGTTGCCAATTTTGAGGATACGGACGCATAAAATGTATATTTCGTTCAATAAAACTAACTGGTAATGTAGGTTTAGCATTTGGATTACGTGGAGATGAAATATAACGTATACGAGAATGCCAATCAGGTCCAACACTTAAAGAAAATTTCATATATGAGAAAAAAAAGAAGATCAAACATTTCGATTTATAAACATGTTCTTTTTTTTGATAAAATTTAATTTTTAATTGTTTAACATTTACTTTGAATAAATTGGCTTGATATGTTGTCCATGTGGACGCCATTTTTCATCTTCCAATGAAGGAGAAGGTATATGAGCACGACCTCTTGGTTTATAGATAGATTCACTTAAAGTCAAACGATGTTTTTCTGGATAATGTCGACGATCATATCCTGATTAAAAGAATAAAATTTTAAAAAAATTTTAAGAAATTTTAATTTTAATAACCATGATAACCAGGTTTTTCTAAATCATAATTAAGATGTAATGTTGCTGAATTTGAATAAACCATAATGTTATTCTCTATGCAGTTAAATGATGCGATTTGTTTCTATTATTGTTTTTGTCGTCGATAAGGTATCCTTTAACTGCTTTTAAAATGAAGAAAAATAAAAAAAAAATGTTTTTTTTTACTTTGCAAATGGTGCATATAGAATGTGTGATGATGATCAATTTCTTCTCGTTCTTTTCAACATAATGGATTTGCATCCGGCCATTATAATATGAATGTTTTTTTTATCGGATGTTTATTCAAAATTTAAATTCTACTTTTCATTCCATTGAACCGTCAAGTAAATACAAAAAAGAAGAAAGTTTATACATACTTAATCGATGCCGTACAATCGGTATTTTTACCAGTTGCTTTTATTCAAGCAATTGTTGTTAGACTTATGCGTTTTTTTTGAGTATTTCGTTGATCGTACACGTGACAAATAATATTTGTCGAACTGTTAAATCTCAATTTCTTACAAGTAAATTTTCTTATTAATCTGCATTCAATTCTTAATATACCTCATGTTGTAATTATTCAAAACTATGCAAAGTTTGAATAAATATCTTCTATCAACTATATTTGTACTTTATTTCATATGTAAATTTGGTACTGACAACATAATAAAGACTACCACTGTCAATAAAAATATGCAGTTTGAACAGACACACGTATTTGGATGATTAGAAAATTCTATGATTAGGTATATCGTATGTTTATTTGCACTATCGCTGATATACCACGATATTCATACGAATCGATGGCAGCGCTTACGACTTTCGGTTCCAACTATAAACGGTTGCAGAGAGTTTTTTATCAAAATTCAAATTATTTATTAGAAAGAGTTCAAATTAACCGAGAAGAAATCAGTTTCAGAATATATTTTACTAATAAAAATTGTTTGCAGCGTCATCTATACTAAACATTTTTCTTACACCTGAGGCCAATTCGGACTCTAGCAAGTACAGGCGACTCAGACGCATCAACATTATCATAATGTGTCGAAAACTATAAAAATTTTCACTGGGTATTGATTCAATACATCATGATACAACATTTTCAAAAAAACCGATGGTAGTTTCTTAGTAGTTATTGCATTGGTAGTTTAGTTAAATTTTCGAACTATATTATGACAATTAAAACACAAGTTTTTGTATAAGCATAACAATGTCTGCTCATGTGATTCAAATTAGCCAAAAACGTCGATAGATTGTGCAATATAATGTGCGCTATACCGGCAATCAGCCGGCGGTAATTTGATATTTAAATGGCAAGCTATCTTTTGGTCACCATTCTGCCATGGTATCTCGATAATTATTCTTTGATCAACAATATGTTGCCGGTATACTGGAGATAGTATGAACAAAAGTGCAATATGAGTTATCGTTTAGAAATCAAAAGCTAGTACAAGTCGTGATCGCGAATAAGTAATATACAAATGTTAAAGTTTAGTTATACAGATATACTTATTGAATAACCTTGGGTATTTGAGATACGGGTAGGTTGATAGTATGGAGATAAAATATTTCTTCATTGTTCGGCTGATTCAGAAGGATCAGTAGAAATTTAAGGACATTCCGAATCGAGGTTCGAGTTTATGAACGAATCTTCGAAAGATTTTAAAATAAAGTTCGGACGAGTTCCATTGCATAAAAAAGACATTTAGGAGAGGAGAAAAATTTATGGCATATACATAATAAAAAGAAAAAGCAAAGTTTTTTCTTCAATATGATATTATGATCATTGGTTTTCTGCAAGACATGTATCAACAATGAGAGTTTTGGTAAGTGACACAATGATATTTTCATAATTCTTTGATTTCAAGACTTACAAAAATGACTTTAGTCATGTCTGAAGAATTACTGAAGATTCTCGGCTTTTAGCTCGCTTTACAGAGAACCTATTTGGAGTGTCCTAATCGAAAAAATTTCAAAACACGACACAGTCAAGTAAAAGAAAGTGGGCGTCTTGACGACAGAACTAGGAAAGTGCCATGAAAAATTGTTGAAAAACATCATGAAATCAATTTCAAACAGGACACTATTGTATTTTCAGCCTCCGGATCTGTTAGTGCAATTGTCTTTGTCCAAACTTTATTT